AAAGCCCCTGCCTCAGGGGGGCAAGGAGCTGCCCAGATGGCAGGGAGAGTGGAGCAGGGTCCTAGCGCTCAGCCCCGGCACCCCCCCCAACCCCTCCCAGTCTGGCCCAGTTCAGCCCAGGCTGGGGGCAGGGGGTATGGGTTCAGACACGCAGCCCCTTCCCTCTGGGAGCTGGGGGGATCTGTGAGCAAACCAGTCCTTGCACATGTGCCGTGGTGCATGCACACGTATGCACTGAGATACGCCCATGCATGCACATCCGTGCACTCCCACAGCAAGGTGCATGCCCACGCGTGTGCACACATGCACAGGGGCACTCCCGGCAGGGCCACTGCACATGCACGCATGCGTGGAGGGTCCTGCATGTGCCCATATTAGTGTGTGAGCACACGTCATACAGGTGCGCACAGATACATGGTGGGGAACAGGTGGCTACACACACACACACCCACACACACCCAAGTGCACGTGTGCAGTCATGGAGATGTGTGTGCGCCGACATGCCTCAGCACCCACCCATGCCCAGTCCTGATGTGGATGCACAATCACATACATTGGGACATGCATCAATAGGATCAACCCACACATGCCCATATGTACACACACATGCACACGCACATGCCCTGAGTCCTGGGCACAGAACACAACCCAGCACATGCACCAACAGCACACACACACATACATGCACACGTGTGTGTGCACACTAACAGCACATTCCCCAGCACACCTTCACCAACCAGCATGTCTTCAACAACATGCACACACCATCCCACGTCGTGCATGCTGCCCGCTATGGGCTGTCACACCAGCACACGCATGCCCCACCTGCCACGGCTCTGCACCAGTGCACTCAGACCCTCAACACCCAGCCAAGCCCCCTCCCCTCCTGTTACAAGGGCCACGAGGGCTGAGATACCTACACGCGGTTGCACGTAGGTAACGTGCAAAGCCAGGCGTGCTCATCTGCACACGCATGGCAGAGGGGCGGTTTGATCCTCTGCCCAGGTGTAACTGGGTGCCTGGGTGCTCAGGCTGGGGAGAGGTTTGACCATGCATGCACATGTTTGGTGGTGTACATGCGCACATGTGTACAAGAACACACACGCACTTTCCAGGGGATCCAGTGATGAGCTGCACAGACCCCCACTGCAGACCTGCACTGGCACATGCGCGGGCAGGACTCTGCACACAGCACTGGCACCACTGCAGCTGTGGTCACACACACAGACGTGTCAGGCTATGTGCGCACAGTGCCAGAGCCATGGGAGCGAGCTGGGCTGGCAGGGTTGGTGCAGCATGGCTGGAAGCAGCACGCAGCCGCAGTGACATGCACACACATGGACAGATGCATGCACATGCATGCCTGCCCTCCCGCGAGAAAGCTTTCAGCAGGGAGGGGCCCTGCCCTGCCACGGGCCCAGCCTTGTGGGCAGGCGTGTGGACACGTGTGTGCGCAAGTGTGCACGTACACGGCAGGGTCCCGCTCTGGCTGCAGCCTCCCTTCAATGCTCGGACCAGCCAGGCTCTGTCCTGTGCCACCAAGGAGCCAAGGAGAGAAGCCAGGTGTCCGAGTGCCCCCTCTCCACCCCCAAGCTCTAACCACTGGACCCCACTCCCCTTCCAGAGCCGGGGAGGGATTCTCAGGCCCGCGCTTCAGACTCTCCTCTGGTCCCAGGTCCAGGAGTCCGGGCAGCCTGATGCCCACGGGTTGGGGGGCGGGCGGGGTGATGGAGATGGGAGCTGGCAGCCAGGTGCAGGGGAGCTGCTAACGAGCAGCGCGAGCAGCTGCCACCCCTGCCAGCGTGGGGGGAGGAGGGGGCCAGCGCCGCCCGCCAGCGCCGCCCGCCGCTGCCACCTGGCCACGATCCCTGCAGGCACCTCATTAGCGCCAGGCCTTGTTAGAGAGAGCAGGGGCCCCCTCGGCCCATGGGTGCAGAGCCGCGCGATGCCCCCCTGCCCAGCTGGCCTGAGCTGGCCCAACTGGTGGTGCAAGTGTGTGAGGGTCAAGGTGCAGGCGTGC